TGGGGTTCTCGGGGTGTTATGAGGGTGGTCTAGAGGGACGTTGGCCAGTTTGTGGGGCTATGCAGGGGTGAAGCTTGTGTGCCCTTATGAGGTTGCGAGCTATGCTGGTGGTGGCATATGACCTCGGTAGGGTCTCCCATGCCAGTCAGGTCTCAACTGAAGGGTCAGTTTAAGTGTGTCCACGGGGTAGGATGAGCTTGCTAGCCTTCCGGCAACCATTCTAGGAGGACAACTTTAACTCCAAATCTAGGCAGATGGAGCTCGCTTACCCCTGTAAGGCCATCCATCTCAGAGAAGGATGCTCTAATTAAACCTACATACTGAGGACTTCGCTGTCACCGTCCAAGCTCACTAGGCACTGGCAGATGAAGCTTAGGAGTAAAGGGTGGGGCCAGTTTCGCACACGCTGTGCCTCACCTAAAAAATCCATTGTGCAGGCTTGAAGGATACATCCACATTTGTAAAGTCCTGTAGCGACAGTTGAGAGTCGAAACAGCAGGTGATGAAGTGCACTGGAAGCCGCAGACCCAACACTGCATGCAGGCGGTTCAGGCACTGATCGCTTGAGACTGACTCCAGAGATGACAGTCTTGTTCGGCAACATCCTGAATGACCAAGCAGCCTTTTTCAAAGAGAGCACTGCTTGCTCCACACGGAGAGGGGCCTAGAAAAGGTGGCCTAACCAAAGCTCATCTCCACTCTTCACCCAGCTGGCTAACCACAGCCAACAGGCATCTTCTGATGTGGTCAAACAAACACAAAGAGACAAAGGCATACACCTGCCTCCAAAGGTGTGTTGGGACTGACACTCGCATGCTGGAACATTAGAACCATGGTTGATACTGCAGATAGCAGACGTCTTGTGCGCTAGGTGGCCTAACCAAAGCTCATCTCCACTCTTCACCCAGCTGGCTAACCACAGCCAACAGGCATCTTCTGATGTGGTCAAACAAACACAAAGAGACAAAGGCATACACCTGCCTCCAAAGGTGTGTTGGGACTGACACTCGCATGCTGGAACATTAGAACCATGGTTGATACTGCAGATAGCAGACGTCTTGTGCGCTGTTCTGCTCTAATTGCCCACGAACTATCACGACTCCTCGACACTGCTGCTCTCAGTGAAGTTCATCTCCATGAGGAAGACAGCCTCAAAGAACATGGTGCTGGCTATACACTTTATTGGTCAGGCAAACCCCAAACCGAAAGTCACCTCTCAGGAGTTGGTTTCATGATTAAAAACTCCATCTCCTCCAAACTTGAAAAACAGGTCATTTCAATTGCATCATCTCCCTACGCCCCCCACTACACATCAAGCAATATGTTGTTCTGTTCAGCATGTATACCCCAACTCTCCAAGCTGACCCTGTGGAAAAGGACAAATTCTACACCAACCTGCATCCAAAAGGTTCCTGCAGATAAGATCATAATCCTCGGTGATTTCAACACCAGAGTAGGAAAGAACTCTGAAGCCTGGAAAGGAGTACTAGGCAAGCATGGTGTTGGAAACTGCAATGACAATGGCCGCCTCTTGCTAGAGTTTTGTGCAGAGTAGCTGCTCACCATCACCAACACTATCGTTCAGCAGAAAGACAGCTTGAAGACAACCTGGATGCATCCTTGATCCAAGTGATGGCACCTCACTGACTATGTCTTAGTGCGCCAGAGAAATGTTCGCGGTGTCCGTCATACCTGATGACTAGTGCAGAATGTCAAACAGACCACCGCCTTGTGCAATGCAAACTTAACCTCCACTTTAAGCCTAAACCTAAGAGGGGTGGCATTCCAAGGAGGAGGCTCCAAGTTAACAATCTTTAAACAGCTAGAGTGAGAGACAACTTCCAGACAAATCTTCAAACTAGAATTGAAGACCATCCAATAGATCCCTCTCCTGAAGCACTTTGGCAATATATTAAAAATAGCATCCTCCAGTCTTCTGAAGAATCCTTAGGGTTCTCCTTCAAGAAAAACAAAGATTGGTTTGATGAAAACAACCAAGAGATCCAGGAATTGTTGACAAAGAAGAGAACTGCTCATCAAGCACACCTTGCTCAGCTGTCTTGTCATGTAAGAAAAGCAGCCTTTCGTCTTGCATGCAGTGAGCTCCAACAGAAACTTTGAGACATCCAGAACAAGTGGTGGATCAACCTAGCAGAAAAGACTCAACTATGCG